GAGCCAGCGAGCGCGGCCCTGTCTAGGACATCAGCCAGCCCTGGGCCAGGGAAACCAAGGCTAGGATGCAGGATGTGCCACAAACGCTAACGAGGACCCTCTTCAGGGACCCGCAATCACACGGAAACCAAAAGTGCCAATTCCACCAGCGACACTGGGAGGAAGGGCTAGGGTGGTGGCCCAAGGGCCCCGGGGGCAGTCAGTGCTGGAACAGCGGGGGGCCAAGAGGAACCGACACTGGCTCCTCTTAGCTTCCGCCGGCTGGATGTCAGCCCGCTTCCCTGGACACCCTATTGGGGTTATCTGGGTGCCCCGCCCTGCCAGGACTTCTGGGGCCACTTTACCCAGGGTGAATAAAAGCCTCTCAGTGGGATCCCACGACAGGACCTAGATGAGGGTGAGGGGTGCCCACAGGGCACAGACGGACCAGTTTGCTTCAACTTTTGACACGGAAGTTGGGGGGACCAGACAGCTCTGCCACAGCACTGTGACCTCAGGGGTGCGGTGGGAGGCCCGCACTACAGGTGAAGGCCTGACCATGCCTGGCAGGGTGGGCGACAGCTGACGCGTGGGATGGCCAGCCCTGGGCCGCGGGGAAGCAGAACTAGCAAGGGGCTCTCTAGTTGTACCTAGTAACGAACTGCCCCTTACATCCTGCGCAAATGATCTGTGGGTGCAGACGAAGCGCTGGAAGAGGAGAAGGTGAAGTCCAAGCAGCAAAGCTGGTCACAGGCTCTCAGGAGCCATTGCGGGGGGCTGCCCCCCACCAGATGGGCTGCGGCCTGGCGCCCCGCAGGAAACTTCTGCGAGCTCCCTCCCCAGCGCTGGCCGGAACGAATGTGCGACCAGGCGCGGCTCCGGCCAGAGGCGGGGGACTGGGGACCGGGCACGTCCACCCCTCCCCTGGCCCGCAGGGTTCGGCCAGAACCCGCGCTGAGCCAGGCTTCCGCTCGTCTCGGCCTGCCACCTCCAAGAATGGCGTTCAGACAGTCGATGCCTCGTCTGGAGGGTCACTCACTCCACAGCCGCCCCTCACTCCCTGCACGCTGCGGGGACGCGGCCATCCTCCGATCACCACCTGGCACCAGCTCACGGTTCCCAAGACGTCTGCGCCACGGGCTTGGAGGTGGGGGACAGGCGGCCAAGGCCGAGGCGCGCGGGCACGCCGGGGAGCGGCACAGAAGTCTCAACTCTGGACATTCCCACACAGAAAGGAACTGAGCTGTCCCCCCAACCCTGAAGAGACGCCGACCCACGCAGGCCTGCCCTGGGCGAGGCTGCAATGCCCGCGAGGCCGTGACTCCCTGCTGCGCTGTGCCTGTGCAAACCCAGGTGACCCTGAAGCCGGGCCTGGCAGCAAGACCCCCCCCACCTCTCGGGGTGGCAGGTGGAGGAGGGGCTATGTGGGAGTGAACAGCTCTGTGGCAGTGCGGTGACCCGCTGGTGTGCCTGACGCTCCCCTAGGGCTGGGCAGGGGCTGGGGTGCATGGCCTGGAAGACCCCCCCACATTTGCTCCTGGGCAACACATCCCTCCCAGGGGCCTGCACTCCACTGGTGATGCCAACGTCCTGGAGAAGGGGCAGTGACAGAGGCTCTCCGAGTGCAGACTGGAGCGACGGGCCCCCCGCAGCACAGCCTGGAAAGTGCAGGCTGGACCACAGGGGGGTGGCCCCGGGCAGCCGCACGGGATGCACGCACAGGAGGGTCAGAGGAGAAAGCCAGCAGGAGGCGGGGCGCAGCGTCCCCTTCGCAGAAGTCTCAGCCCCTTCCTCTCCCGGGCCAGAGCCGAGAGTGCGGCCATGTCTGCAGACCTGTCTGTAGGATGCAGGGTGGAGCACAGGGCCCTGACCTACCCCACAGGAAAAGAACCGGCGAGGCATAGACCCCCACGGTCACAGCACACAAGCCCGGGAGCCACGCCGTGGGCCCTCACATGTCCACGAAGACCATGAAGCACCAGCCCAGACCCCCGACCAACAGCATGGTCACGTGGATGCCGTAGACCAGCAGCTCGTTCAGGAGGCGGAAGTCCACGCGCCGGCGGCCCAGCAGCAGCAGCAGCACCGACAGCTTGCGCTGGAAGCGCAGCAGGACGCGCACGCCCAGGTACTGCAGGCAGAAGAGGGCGGCCAGCGCGCCCCAGAGCGCGGCGGTGAAGAGGCTGCAGCTGAAGTAGAGCAGGAAGCGGATGAAGCCGTACAGCCAGCGCGCCCGCACGTACACGTCGAAGTTGTTGTACTTGGTGCGCGCCAGGCGCGACGCGCGCGCCGGCCCGCAGGCC